AGAGAATCCGTTAAATGGGCAAAATTGGGCAGAATTCGAATGCCTATTCATTACCGTTTTCAAAATTTAGGTACCCGACTTGGTTCCTGAAATATCCTCAAAAGGCAAGTGATCACTTGCAATCAATCAACACTTTTCAATCAATCAACACTTTCGCAAATCAACACTTTTTCATATTATCTTATAATATATTGTATTGTGTATATATATGATAATATATTATATTATCATATAATTCGTAAACGGCTTAACTTAGAAAAAAAGTTAAAATTGTCTTTGGTAGAACTTTTTGCGTTGAATTCAATAAACTAGGACTCGTTGTCATAGTCAACTTGATTTACGAAATAAAAAATAAACTTTGTGTGATAACATAGTTCTTGTTTCCATAGCCTACTACACATTTTTATATTCTTTTGAAGTTTTACGGCTACAAAAGGAGAAAAAAATACAAACAATTATATCGTTAAATTCAGAAAAAAATAAGGATTTTAAAAGGCCCACAGCCAACTATGATTACCATTTAAAAAACCATAAGATTATTTTTTATCTCGTAAATCAAGTTGACTATGATAACGAGTGCTAGTTTATTGGATTCAACGCAAAAAGTTGTACTAGGGGCAGTTTTAACTTTTTTCTAAGTTAAGCAGTTTACGTAATAAGTGATAATTAAAAGTGTTGATTTCTGGTCTTTTCAGGATATTTCAGGAACCAAGTCGGGTACCCAAATTTTGACAACGGTAATGAATAGGCAATCGAATTCTGCCCAATTTTGCCCATTTAACGGATTCTCTATCTTTAAAAATGTAGAAGTTACCCATACAAAGATTCAGAAAATGGCCACCCTGTATACAGGGTGGTTTTTTAGTGCGAAAAACTTTCTGTTGTTGTTGAACTTGTTAAACCAACGAAAAATAGTTTGATATAAAAGTTGTTGACGCACAAAGTGCGCACATTTTGAAAATGTTTTATATGATACAGAGTGTCTCAGAAAAGCGAGGCAAGATCAAAGTGTATTTTTTAAAATAGAACTACCACCCATTCTTGAAACGCTGCATATGCACCGTAAATTGTTTTTTTCTTAGTTGCGACGTTGGAATATTATCGCCATTTCAGTAAAATTTTGTTTAAAAACATGGTATCTAAAAATTCATTGTAGAAGCAAAAAAGAGCAGTTAAAGATTCAAAAAAAAAACACGTCTTTTCAATCACCACAGATCCGTTAAGAATTATATTGAAGCAAAATATCAATACAATGTACAATATTGTACAGAGTGCTAATAATGTGTACTTAAATCTGATATTTTTTAAAGCAATATAACTTTTGTTTTTCAAATGGAAGTACCTGTATATTAATACGTCATTAGATAGACAATTTACAAAGTTACAAATTTGCATTTACACTTTAA